ATCCTTGAAAACCACCATTTTCGCCAAGCATCATGGACACTACCAGGATGCTTGGCGAAAACATTACGAAACCTGTTACAGACAAAATTTATACATTATAAATCTATATCACTAGATCCTTATTTTTGCTTTGTTATGTGTTTGTGTACAGTACATCATTGTAACTTTCCATGAATATTGAAGTTACATTACAATACTGTATTATTATAAAATACACATTAAAAGATTCAGTAGAGATGTCTGTTATAAATAATATAGTTATTTGTATATATTTTCATAATAGTGTAATCTTAGTATATATATTTGTATCATGTCTTTTAATTACCTTCCATTATGATCAACTACTGCTTGAACATTGTAAGATGCCCATCCTTTTCTATTGACAAAATCTCTGTAACCTTCTTCTGGTACTGTAATAGGTATATATGTTCCATCGATGCAACCAATTATTTGAGGAATATGAGACACATTTTCAAATTGCATTGCAATATATTTTGCTTCATCTTGATTTGGCATTTTAATATAAACAGGAGCCATAACTTTATTAATTGCTTTTATAATTTTGTAGAGGAATTTTTTCACTGTTGATTTATGTATTCCAAATACATTTCCAACTACTCTGTATTCAGAACAACTAGCAATTTTATACAGAGCTATAGCAACTTGTTTTTTTACAGATACAGGCTCTCTAGCTTTTAAAACTTGCATTCTTGGTTGTAATTCATCTCTGAGTAAATCACATAATTTTAAGAAACTTATTTTTGACATTCGGAAACTTTCGAACCATTCTGAATCAGTATAATGATTTAATACAATTGATTCCCAAAACTCGTAGCTTCTTTTTTTCATCCATGTTCTTCTGTATTGTACACCCTTTATAATAAGTTGAGGAGATATTAAATTATTTATTATTATTTTCCATATAAAAATTAAATTAAATTTTTGCTTTAAACATAATCTTAGTAGACGTTCTAATAAAGTTCGTCGCCTTGCTCTTATTATAATCATCATACGTCTTCTTCGAGTATGTTGAAAATTTTGAAACATATAAAATGTGGTCATATACTTTTGCATACTATTATTATTCATTATTTCTCGTTTTATATCAAATAAATAATACACTCCACTTATCACTTACAAAGCAAGAATATGATTTTAAACGAATTGTAATTCCAAGTACTATCACTAGAAGGCATTCGATATGGATTAAATTCGTATTATATTTTTCCCTTAGTACGTCCAATGTAAACGCACCCGTACTAAAGCATTGGTGCGCACCAAACTTAATACGCGTACTAACATTTTAACGATGTAAACTAGGCCACTGGCTCACTCAAAGATCAGATCCAATCATTGGTGAAACAAGTCGCGGCACTCAACACGCAATTGGGCCGGCAGGAGCAGCGCCACAGACAGCAGCGCCACAGATCGCGCAGCCGCAGCCGGACGAAGTCAACTTCGGAAGAAGACAGCGGGCTTTGCTTTTTCCACCGGCGATTCGGCAACAAGGCCAGAAAATGTACAGAGCCATGTACTTACAAAGAAAAGAAAAAGGAGAAAGCGGAAAACTAGTCGGTCCGGAATCAATGGCGGCAGACGGCCTGGACCCGAAACCTTGCCGCCTTCTAATAACTGAGCGACAAACAAAAGTTCGGTACCTCATCGACACTGGATCAGACATAAGTGTCTACCCGCGCTCGATGGTACGCGGACGGATGTCCGGAGCAACGCAAGCCCTGTTTGCAGCCAATGGTACAATCATCCACACTTACGGGTGGATCGCGCTTCAACTCAACATCGGATTGAGGCGCGCCTTCCAATGGAAATTCATCGTGGCTAACGTCACACAGCCAATTATCGGATCTGATTTCCTCGGTTACTTCCATCTTCTGCCGGATGTAAGAAGAGGCAAACTTTTGGACGCTACAACCGGATTGGCCACAAACAGCCTACAAAGCAGAACCGGACAAACATCAATTAAGACATTATTGCAGGAAACAGCCTTTCACGCCTTATTGGCTGAATTCCCGCAGCTCACTAGACCAACCGGAAAAACGGAATCCGCGCCGCACTCAACGATGCATTACATCGAGACGACACCGGGACCACCGGAAGCGTGCAGGCCAAGAAGACTGACGCCGGAAAAACTAAAAGAGGCGAAGCAGCAATTCGATCTTTTACTTCAAGAAGGCGTAATTGCGCCGTCCAAGAGCGCATGGGCCTCACCATTACATATGGCACCAAAGAAAGGTGGCACGTGGCGACCATGCGGCGATTACCGCAAGCTCAACAACCGAACGGTGCCGGACAGATACCCGATTCCGCATATCAAGGATTTTACACAGGCTCTTCACGGGAAATCAATTTTCTCCACACTGGATCTGGTTAGAGCTTATAACCAGATTCCAGTAAACGCTGAAGACGTGCCTAAAACAGCAATCACTACACCGTTCGGTCTGTTCGAGTTTCTCAAAATGCCTTTCGGCTTGAGAAACGCAGCTCAAACGTTCCAGAGATTCATCAACGAGGTGATACGCGGACTCGATTTCTGCTACGCCTACATTGATGACATCCTGGTAGCGTCTCACGACGAAAACGAACACAAAAAACACTTGTAACGGTGCGTATTTTTACGCCTCACGGGCGATGCGTAATGATGCGGTCCGGTTTTGACGGTATGCGGATTTTTCGATGCGGAATTACGACGGTGCGTAGTTAGCAAAGCGGATTCTTACGACGCGGAATAACTCGTCGGTTTGCCAGAGTTCGTTCATGTGGTTTATCGGGAGACTCCAAATTAACCAAAAATAATTTAAAGAAAAATAACTATTTATTCAATAGAGCATTATAATTATAAAAGAAAATAGTAACAACGAGTACATGTGTATTTCTGGAACGGTATAATCGGATCTAACTATCGGAAATAAATAAGTAATTTCTTATCGGTTGGACGAGTAAATGTTGCGACGGTACATGTGTATAATTCTAATTGCGAACGAATGAATAATGAACGGAAAATAAACGGCGTAAATCGTTGGTGCGCTTTTGGCTGAATTATAAACAAATTAAATTATTTAATCGGTCGGTTCGTACGGTACGGAGCAAAGTAATAAAAAATAAGCGATACCGCGTATATCCGAGCCTTGCTGAGTCATCGACGGTTGCCGGTACGCTGTGTCCTAAGACAGTGAGAGACTTCTCTCGTGCAAGGGGTATCGGAAGTCGAACGCCGGGGACACCCGGCCGAGGCAGAGAACGCCCTGCCCCTAGAACGACGGAGAGTCGGAAGTCGAACACCGAGACACCCGGCC